CCCCCCCCCCCCCCCCCCTCCTCTCCCTGTCTGTGTGTGTGTCTCTCTCTCTTCTGCTTTCCGTGAGCGTCCGGCACCACCAGCATCAGCTACAAACCAACCAACCAAGCAACAACACCATCTTCTCCCTGTTCGCCTCCGATTCTCGCCTGGGGGTTGGCTTCCTGGAACGCTGTGAGACGCTCGTCGACCGTTCTCTGCTCCACAACGTTCAAGAGGGCGGTGGAGTCTTGCCCCACCTGGGTCAACAAACAGACCGAGACACGTCCATGAACAGCATTGCGTCAGCGGACCGCAACAACAACACGAAGCAATCCTCAAAGCATGTACCCGCTGAAAGAACACATGCCATGCTCTCGTTGTAGGCAGATGACAACATACTCGACGATTGTCGGCGCCTGCGCCCAGTACACCCGGCGGTAGATTCAAGGAAAATGTGAGGCACAGAACGCGCCCGTACTTGTGAGCTTTTTTTGGCCGATGTTCGTTTCTTACAAGGAGAGTTTGGGTAGGTCTGCCAGGAGGGGGGGGGGGGGGGCAGGAAACCTAGACCTTCTTTGGTGGCGACCGAGGAGCGGAGGAGGGATATCCGTGGTTTAGGTCGCTGTCCGCCGCAGCAGCGTAGGGTGGCAAGGTCGCTGTCCTTGACGGGCAGGCCGCATCCAGTCCAATGCTTGTAAAAAGTGATCGACAACCGTGTCAAGAATGCAAGGCCAAAAAAACTGCACCCCGACGGAAGTGGTCACCTGCTTGGCCGCCTGGTCGCACCCCACGCGACTAAAGATGAACACGATCGCCGGAAGCAGGTCCTTACGCCCCAAGCACCGCACCAGATACTGTCGAGGTTGGTGCGGAATCAGGCGGAAGGGACAAGGGGGAAGTGCGTACGTCACAAAGGCAGAGCAAGGCAGAGCAAGTACGGCATGAGCGAGAGGGCGGGGGGAGGGAGAAGCGGCGCGATCGCGGACAGAGAAAAGAAGGCGCACCTACCGACGGGAAAAAAATAATTATTTTCTCATTTGGTTCGTCTCAAGAAAAACAACAAAACATCATCCGAGGAGAGGTCAGGACAAACCCGCGATTAATTCGTTCATAGTATTGGCACTTCTTCGACCCACACCTGTATTTCTACTCATTCCCCGTCTCTTCAGCACACTACATACCAGTCGCATAGTATACGGATTGCAATGATTTGGCGCGGCACCCCAAAAAAAGGTTGCTCCCGCGAACCAAGAACGGAGCAACACGAAAATGTTCTGGAGGAGACAGGTTTGGATGAATCTTCACACACGAAATTTCACACATTCTAAGGCCAATTCGAAGCTGCAAGATGACGTAATCTTCGGGCCAATGGACCCCGAACAAGATCGATGAGCTTCTACGAGGGTCACCCAACAGCCCGAGCAAGCATATCCAACATGGATACTTCCAACTGGGAGTGAGACATTGCCCCTGGTGGTCCTCGTATGCCTCGGTCTTGGAACATGTTTCTTGGCGGACGTGTCAAGAACGGCAGTGGATCGAGCCTCCGCAGGCAACAACAAAGGAGACGATACCAGCACCGTACAGCGCACGTCCTTGACGTTCCTGGTGCCATCACGAAACTTCTAGTGGCGCCTCACAGCAACAGCGTTTGGATCTCCCACCGGGTGTGGATGAGGGCAGCGCATCATACGGCATCCAGAAAAATACCATGATACCCTCTGTTACGACAGATCGTACGTAACGCTATTCCGTCGAAAGGGCACGACTTGTGACCCCCGAACCCCTCCAAAGAGGAGCTCTTGGAACTCCCATCGGTGAGGATGAAGACAGCAGTGCATCCCACGGGATGGACCTAAAAAAAGTGCAAGATTTTCACAACTCATTCGAGAGAATCGTGCCAATATCCGTTGTGCGATGTATTTCGTCCCCAAACCAAAAAATAATAATAATAACGAAAACACACACCCAACCCATCGTAAATAAAATCCAAACGCGTCCCCGAACCGGAAACAATAAAATCTTCGAAACCAACTTGCCTACAACCAAACCAAAAAACACCCCAACAACCTGATTCAGCCTCAAGAAAGTATTTCGAAAATTCTCACCGGAAAGCTCGGCACAGCCCGATAAGCCGCGTTCCGCATGTTCTTCCTGGCTTCTCTCCTGTTGCCGCCGCCGTAGCTCCCCCCTCTATCGTCGTCCTGCCTACCTTGGTATGAACCTCGATCTCGTCTGCCACGCCTGTCTCCGCCCCCGCCCCTGTCAACGCAAGCCCGAAGGAGCACCGATCGAACGTTGCATCAAGTTGGAGCACGCACTCCGGTGGGATGTTGCATCAAGTCTTCGCGCGATATCAGCACGTGCGCTCTCATCGGCCTTCGATTCAATCCCCCTCGACGCCATTTCCAAGATGGTTATCTCTCGAAATAGAAGAGAGAGTGGTGCAACACCACTGTGGTGGACGCAAGAGAGAGAAAGTGGCTCGACATCACTGTGGTGGAAACAAGAGAAAGTGGTTCGATATCGCTGTGGTGGAAACAAGACAGAGAACAACATATCGACCCGGCTCGCGCGTACCTGTACCCGCGGCTGCCGCCGCCACCGCCCCCCCGTCCATACTTTGATGATCTGCCGGAGCCCCCTCTGCCATCGTCGTCGTTTCGCTGCGAGTATCGTTTCGCCGCTAGGAGGTCGTTTTCGTGGGACTCTAGCAGTTCCACGTTGATTCGCAACCTGCTTTCAACCACCGCCGAGCCAAACGGGGGGTGGGGGGGGGCACGCAGAAAGGAATATGAGACGCGTTCAGTCTTAAACATGACGAGGACGACCAAGCGGGAAAGGAGCGGTGCGTCTAGATATATCGAGACAGGGAGGAATGGGGGTGTTCGTACATGACGGCGGCTGTGTGCAGCATGACAACCCTTATGCTCGCGTCCTCGCGGACGTACACTAAAACGTGTTGTGCGTACCTGTTGGGGAGACGACTCCGCCTCCTTCGCAAGCGCTTGGGCACCGGCTTCGCGCCGAAGCCGCTCCCACCGAGTTCGGCCTTCATTGCAAGCAAGGACAACGAAAGAGCAGGTACAGCATGCCAGTTGTACACAAGGCGAGAAGAGCATGGCACTGCAACGACTCGAGAAAGGGTTCGTTCAGCACCCCCAAAAAAATGGGTATTATACAGAGGGCGAGGATACGATATGAGGTACTCCACGGGCAGGCGAGCGGTGTTGGAGGACGATGGAACGAGATGCAAGACGAGACAGAGGGAGGGTGGGGCACAAACGCCGCCAGAGAGAATAGCGCATGCGACGAAGGTGGGACAGTGTTCTTGGTACTGGAGAAAGGTTGAGGAATACACCAGAGGTACGACGTTGTTGTTGTCGTTGTCGTGGATGATGGGGAAATATCAAGGCGTCCACCAGAGGTACCATGCTGTTGCTGTCGTTGTTGTTGTCGTTGTTGTTGTCGTTGTTGTTGGAGAAACAAACATCAGAGGTGCGACGTTGTTGGTGTTGGTTTGCTGTTATGGCTGCTGTTGCTGCCGCTAGAGGACTATTACGAAGGACTACGGCAGAGCAGCGTTCTTGTCATTGTGGGTATGTTGCTATTGCTGTCGCCTACCAGCGGGTCATCCTCCCCGGAGCCTTCCCCCTTCCTCCTGCCCCCGTTAGGAGCACCGGGACCAGAGTCCGGGTCGCGGAAAAGGTTGTACAGGCCGTCCTTCATGGCGAACCAGTACCTGGGATGCGGCATTCAAAGGGGCAGGGTGGGGTGTCAAACAGCAAGAAAAAGAAGTGGAGGGACGGGAAAGAGGTGGAATTGCCTGGAGAGGTTCCAATTTCGTGGTGAGACAATGTCTGACATTGTGATCGGGGGTTATTGGGAGGAGCAAAGGACGTGGGATGCCTTGAGAGGTTCGGATTTCGAAGTGAGACAAGACCAGTCAATACAAATGTATTGTAGAAGGTGGGGGTGATATATGGATATTCGGTCGGGGGTGGGTCTGGAGAATGTTTCACCGCAAATGAATGAAGACATATGGGTAGAACAAAACGGGGAGGGGGGCAAGTACAATGTGTGCCTGCAGAAAGAGAAAAAGGGTTGCCAACAATGCAAAAACGAGGAAAACGAAAGAGACAAAGTGGCTTTCCAAAGCATGCAAGGAATCAACACAACACGCAAAAACCCCGGTAAGCGGTGGGACAAGGAAACTCGAAAGGGAGCCATCGAGTCAAAACAGTTGTGTCGACACCGAACAGCAAGGAGACCCCCCCAAAACATGCACGCCTCCATTCACGCGGGGGTTCGGCAATCCAGCGCCAGAGCACGTACACATTCACACAAGCGGGGCGGAGCAGTCACTACAATTCAAGGATTGACGATCGAAGGATGACTGAAGTGTTGAGATTCTACGAAAGAACAAAAAATGGAAGATAACTTCCTTATTGTGGGAGATTTACAGCCCCAAACCGACACACCATTTGGAGATGGCATGTGCGCGTGCTGCCCGCGTCTAGCCCGTGAAATCCTGAAGTGGTCACTCCATCAACCGCCAAGCGTCACGACATCAACACACAAGCGCGCGAAGCCAGGCACACCAGCAGCACCTGGACGTTTCATCGTCGCGCTTTGAAACGCCACAACAAATCGCTAGACACAGCAAACATTACAAAACACAAGGGAAAAACAACGCCATAAAAACGTCCCTGGGTTACCTTCCTCCTGGTGCGTCGAACAAGGTGCACCGAAAGTGGTGTAATAGACTGGCGCGCAGCAGTAGATGGGACAAAAGCAAGACGCAAGACACACGACTATGCATACAGAACCACAAAGAGCGAAACTCACGAGAGTGGCACCGGGCGGAAGTCGCTCACGACAAGGGAAGACGCCCCGTGCGTGTGCTCCACCCAGTCCTTGATCTCGCCGACGTTGCTCATCGTGGCGGAGAGCGCCACCATCAGCACCGTCTTGGGACAGTTGATCACCGACTCTTCCCACACCTGATACCAAGCCGCCGAGCACGTTTGGATGACAAGGGGCGGGAGTTAGGACATACGGAGGAGCAACGACATGATCACCCAGCAAACATGACACCGGTTTCATGGAATAGCTGCGTTTTTTTACCGCATGCCTGGATGGGCAAAATCGGCCAGCATGACAGCAGCACAACTAGTGGTGGGTGTTGGCTGTGACCGACTCGTCCTTCGCGAGGAAACCATATAGGCAATGAAAGGGCGGGGGTGCAGACCTGGTACAACAGCAGAGCAGTATATACAACTCCGTACATACACACACGACGGTATACCGTTGAACCAAGCCCTCCTTTTCCCTTTACCACGTGACCATGGAAGGCAGTCAGTTGGACCAATACGGAAACTAGGGCATGACTACGAGACCGCAGCAACTTGTCCGCTCTCTAGGAGCAGAGAGGCTCCCAAGGAAGAGAACACTATTTCCCAGCCTTCAAATGCTTGTTCGACCGACTTCGGTCGCCATCAAACAAAGAAAGAGCGGCACTAGGCGGTTGCGCAAAGTCATATTTGTTGACGCAGCGAGCGCCATTCTCTGATCGACGCCACCGCCACCAACGTGTGATGGGCACACGAGATCTCCCAATACACGTATGTGTGTGCGTCTACAATAGATCGTTTCACTTCAAAATTTTGAAGGGAAGACGCATCAAAATCACGCACCAAACATACACACACACACACACACAAACACACACATGGCAGATAGAAGTGTTTTGTGTTTTCAACCGCACTAAGACTGACGTCTTTTCATTGGTCAGCCGGTTAGCGCGGTCGATGCTAGCAATAAATACACACACACACACACATCCGTGTGTGACACGCACCCATATGGGCCAATAGCAACGCCTACAGCAGTGCGTGCATCGGTCCTGGACCTTGATTTCCGTACCAGCACCGGAAAACCGCACCGTACCATTTTTCGATTTACCACGAAGAAGTCCCACTGAAAGAAAAAAAATACCATCAGGCACCACGTTCGCAGCAATCAGGAGCGCATCTCGCTAAAATCCCAGCGCAAGCCAAGAACAGTGATCATCGGTTGTTGCAAGGCAAGAACAAGAGCGACATCATCTCTTGCTGCTGCTGCCGCGGGCTGGTTGTGTTGTGCGTACCGTGCCCCTGTCCCGGTCGTTCATGTAGTGGAACTCGTCGAAGACGACGGCGAACACGTCGTCCAGCTCCCCGGTCTCCTCGCTGTCGTACAGCATGTTGCGGAACACCTCCGTCGTCATCACCGCCACCTGCCGCGACGATAGCACCAACAGCAGCAACGGCGAGGGACTCGATACCAGAGCCCTGAGATGCTACACATTCGGCCAGGATACCGTCGGCCCTACCATCCATGGCTTCGCTCGTATCTCTGTGGCGAGATGCGAAGTGATCCCGTATTTAGTTGTTCACAGCATCTTGGTACTATTATCAACAACAAGACTCCACAAGACCAACAGCAACAAGAACGACATTACTTACCTGTGCGTCGCGATTAAAGCTGCTGTCACCCGTGAGCAGACCGACTTTGTCCTCCCCGAACTGCCTCCTGAAGTCCTGAAACTTCTGGTTCGACAACGCCTTCAGAGGAGTCGTGTAGAAAACCCTGCAAAACAGACAAAACGTCGAGAGAGAGAGAGAGAGAGAGAGAGAGAGGGAGAGAGAGAAAGAGAGAGTTGACTCAGAATGTCCGCCACCTTTGGGATAGGCAACGTCTCAAACTGGGGCCCAGCAACCGACGTCAGACAAGATCGCCAGAGGATATGGGGGAGCAAGCGGTCCTGGGGTATCCCCGCCTTGCATCTGTGGTACAAGCAATGTTTTTCACTCCGTGCCTTGAAAAACTCTCCAGAAAGACCGGAGCAGGCGGCCAGCCTTCAGCGCCAGATTTCACCGTGCTTGTTCTTATCATCACGAAATCACGGATACAAACGGATACAAACGGAGCTTACGGAACACCCCCCATACCGCATTCACGACGGTGCACCCGAAGTGAATCTTCAGGCGTGCGTGACTGGATAGTTTTGTACGAGTCTTAGGGCACGGAAGACGGCGTGGGTTCCTCCGCCACTCCATTCCGCGGCCGATCCGGGTTATCAAACCCTTGCCCTTGACATTTTCTCAACAACCAGCCAAAAAAAAAAAAATCCGTGAAAATATTCTCTGTGTGATACTCTGCCCTTTCACATAGGAAGCCAACACACAAAAAAACATACACACCGACAACAAAAATTACGACAGCATGCTAGATTGACTGTGTTCTGCTTGCCTGAGATTTAATGCTAGCGCGTAGTACACGGCCAGCTCCCCCACTACCGTCTTCCCGCTGCCCGTGGGGGCCGACACGATGACGTTGTTCCTGCCTGCGAGGCCTCTCAAGGCCTCTGTCTGGAAGGGGTCCAGCTCGAACGGGAAGAGGGCTTGGAACAGTTCCGGTTGCACCTGTACATGGTGTGTACACAGAGGGAAGAGAGTGCTGAACTCTTCTCGCATTAAAAATCGAAGGCAAAGTACCGCAGGAGGGGAGGGTAGAGAGGGGCTCTTCTGTGTGACCACGGGTTGGAGTAAACGGCGCCAGTGCTGTGAGCGCTGATTTGAAGTGAAGACAAAAAAACAAACAAACATGAGATAAGAAGAAAAACAAGTTCCTACTTGTGTGAAGTAGCTGGAAAATGTACTCCGAAGTACATACCCCATATATATTGCCAAAAGTTTTCTCCTGCCCGTTACGATTAATGTTGATTGGTTGCATTCAAATAAAACAAGCACTTTGAACGTCTCTCCGAAGAATAAGACAAAATGAGCAATGCCTAACGCGTGCCGACACCGTATACCTCAACAACAGCGCCTCCACCCCCATTCCCAACTCACGGCGCCCCCCCAAACCCCAAAAAAACTTTCGACGGTCGCGCTCACCGCTCCATCCGGTGTGGCGTTGACGATGCTCTGGAGGAGGGGCACCGCAGAAGCGCTACCGGCGACCTCCTGAAGCTCGGTCCACCTGTTCGACCCGATCATAAAAGAAATCATGACGACACCGAAACGTAGAATGTTCGCAATAAATACACGGGAGCTGAAGGAGGGCGGGAAACACTCACTGCAGGAATACAAATGAGATCTGGAAGCCGACCGAACCGAGCTGGCAGGCCACTTACCAAAAAAAAAGGGGGGTAAATCAAAAGAAGAACGCACGGATGAAACACAAAAAAATCCAGGAACGACTCTACGACCTGGGGTTCGATCCACATGGCTGGCCTATCTATTTGAATAGAGAGAAACTGCCAAGCAACAGTGGTCAAGGGGAAACTGCGGTGACATCCACCAATAAGTCTGCTGTGTGTGATGCACGGAAGAAAATCGCTCGAAGAAATACTCCACAAACAATCGCCACACATGAAACAAGAAGGCAGGTAATCTGCGGCTACAGTTCAACCGCAAGAACAGCGGTAGCAACACCAACACCAACAACACCAACAACCAAAACTACAGCCACGAAATCAACGCCAACTGCAGCAGCAGCAGCAGTAGCCCCGACCACAACTGAAAAAACCAACACAGCTACGAAATCAACAAAAACAACAACAACAGCTGCACACGGACAAGAACAACAATAGCAGCTGCATCAGCAACAACAACCACCACAGCTGAACAACAGCGGGAGAAACGACAACAGCAACATCAACAAGGCGGCTGGCTGACTCACATAGCACGTAGCTCAGGCGTGAGTGCGGCCATTGCCTCCTCGTAAACCTCCCGGGTAGGCCTGGGGGGCGGCTCCTGCTCCACCAAAGCCTCCTCCTGGAGTGGTCGTTGTGAGGCGATAAAAAGCGCCGAAACAAGGGAATACAACGTGAGAAAACGCGCCAATCCGACCCAATCAAAAAGACGTGACGCGAACGCTAATCTTCGATGTGAGGCGTACCGCGAAAGCTGTTCGAAAGAAGCAAAGAAGTATCTATCCCACGCGGGTAAAAACGACTCGAAGCGGGCACCTATCGCGTCCTTGGAGCAAAAAAACTCAAGTAAACTCTACCAGGGACAAAGGGTATTCAAGCACAGGACGGCGTCCGCGCAAGATAAAATTGGGGAAATTGTCTCCAACTAGACCTGCCACTACCTGAAATTGTCAAAGCACTTCATCTCTGGCAGCTCACCGTACGGTCCAGCCCTCACACAAGCGGTACAGCTAGCCAACAAAATAACAGCTGCATGCAGTAGAAAGCAAGGAGATATATAAGCGGAAAGTATGATCTGTGCATCACCTCGGTTTCGTCATCGTCATCGTCATCGTCATCGTCATCGTCATCGTCATCGTCATCGTCCAGCAGAAAAGACTCCCCTTGCCTCTGAGAGCCCCGTTTGCCTCTACCCCTGCCCCTGCTCTTCCTGCTCCCGGCGTCTGCCGCCGTCTCCCCAAGCAGCAGGTCGGTGTAAGCATCTAGAACAGCGATCGGGTTTTGGTCGGGGCCAAGCATCGAAACAAAACAAAAAACACTAGGAAAGCGAGTGAGAACAGGCAAGCGGTTGAGACAGTGTTGAGCGAGTGACCTATACTTCCCGAGCTGCTCGCTTGGCGAAAGCGGAGCGAAAGCGCCGGACACAGAAAACGATTGAAACGACAATAAGAAGCGGAGGGGTTGGTAAACGGATACACAAACGAATCCCGCCGAGCTCGTTCGGGCCACACTGAACGACAGAAGCACAAACCACACACATCCCTCTTTTCTGCAGAGCATGGATGGCCTCCGCCTGATGCGATTCCCTATTACAGGCGAGCTTGGTGGCAGCGCACATGCCATAGAACATCAACCTCCGGTCCCCATAAAAGAGCTGCCGGAAGGGGGCCACAACAAGGACCACATCCTACAGAGCCACAGTCTACGAAGCAGGGACAAAGAAACATAGACAACCCCGCCACCCCCCCAGTCTCCGACAGAAATGAACCCCGACCCCCCCCCGAATGCCGAAAATCCACTCCAGGAGGCAAGGCCGTATTGGGCCGAATGCTATAATAGTGACATTTACGGAATACCACAGCAGGATGCAGCACCTTCATCCCCCCTCGACATAAACCGCCCCCCGTTCGCGCGAACTCCCTGCACGATCCGGGAGAGCAAGTTCAACCTCTCCACATGAGCAGGTCGTGGGGATGAGAGAGGTACACTGCCGGCAGCATCCTCACCTGCTAGCTCCGTAGCCCCCCCCCCGACGTCAACACGGGCCCCCCTCTGGTCCCCGAACAAGCTCTCGAACAGATCCTCATCGGAAACGGCTCTGGAGATCGCCCCCCCCCCCCCCCCACCACCACCACCACCGTCCTGTAGCAATCCTTCGCCGGCGACGCCAGCCCGACGACGACGGTAGTCCCTCCCCCGCCGCGCCCGTCTCCCCTCGATGCCGCTTCGCTTATCTCCCGGCTTGATGTAGTCGTTGCCTCTGCCCCCCTCGTCGGAATCATGCCACATGCCCAGGAGCTCCTGCTCTAGGCTTCCGATGGAAGCCGGCGGGGGTGGGGTTTCCTGCGGTGGGAGCGTTCGGTAACGGGGGCTCGACTTTGGCGTACAATTACACAAGCGGAGCGAGGATTCTCGAAGGGTGGCTGCATCGCGAAGATAAATTCTGAGCGCTGAGGAAGTCATTCGGAGGACAAGCAGCGGCTGCAGTAGCTCACGCTTGCTAGAACTTTGATTCAATAATGTCACGGATGAATCTTCCATCGGTTTGGATCTGTCTCTGTTTCTGTTTTAATGGGAGGAGAGGGCAAGGCGTACGGCGGTTGGGTACTGAGAAAGACAGCAATGCATGGCATAGCGACTACAACTTGTAGTCCTCGGTACACACTGAGGGAATAGCCTATTCAAGCCTTACACACAACGACCACAGTTTGGTACAACAGTAGCGTGTTGCGCACCGCACACCTTAACCCTTACGTGACTGGGTTATTTTTATTTTTTTTTCCCACAACTGGCTCTCTGCGGTCAAAGATCTTCCAAACATGCGTGTACACCCATAAATCACGGCGGCAAGGATGGTGCAGCAGTGGGTCCATGTGTGGGGCTCACAGGGATGGGCATGCGGTATATGTCAGGGTGACGAACAGGAGTACAGTAGTACTACTGCTATGCGAAGAGAAATAGACTGTACAGCAGCAATAGTTTCTGAGCAGGTGTGCATGCCTGTCTCCGACAGCAGCCGTCCGCACAGAGGATGAACCCGTGCAAATAATACCTGTTGGCACATCTTCTCCACCTCATCCTTGGACAGAGCATACGGCAAGCGCACATGCTAGCGGCGCGAGATGCGAAAACGCTGACGGGAAACCGCCTCACAGAAGCGCCAGATCGACGAAAAAACGGCCAGCTCATCAGAGAATCGAGACCATCATCCACTACCGCACAAAATACATAAAAATCGTGATAAACTTTACTATTCTGTACTACAAATAGAGAGCTGTGATCGGAGCTGTAGTCCCGAAAACCCTTGCCTTTGAGCGAAATTTTGCATACAGCAGACGAACCACCCTTCACTCTCAATACTGGGAACCACACGCACCGCAATCACAACAACATCAAGCACCGAGGCAGTACGTTAGCATCGGCTCCGGTGTGCGCTTTCTCTGCTCTCCCCCGCGGATGCGGCACCGGGTTGATCACATGTTCAGGGTGTTGTATGTACCCTCCGGTGGTATTTTGCGTGTGAATCTTACAGTGCCGGTAGGCAGTAGATTGGATCTGGAAAGGGTATCTGCTCCACGTCAGAGAGATTAGGCATGGGTGAATAGTATTGTAGTATGTGAGTCTTTGCGCATTGCTGATAAGCGTGCTTTTGGGGTGGGCTGCCTGTGTGTCCCTCCTGCTCTCTATGTACCAGGTATGTGTTTTGCTCTTAGCCGAGGCACAACGGCGATCTTTCGGCACGCAAAGTGATCGGAGGTGAGAACGGAGCTGAATCGGCCTTTAGTTACGTAAGGGTTAAAATGAACCACAATGAACGCAGAAACACAACACATGGAACGATTTAAAAAAATCATGACAACAGGCCATGAACGACGAACGATGTACGACGTACCATCACGCCTTCACCTCTCCCCCAAACACACAGGGCGCGTCTGCAAAAAGAACACACTTCTGACACTCTCCCTAACAAGGTGCCAGAACCACAAAGCACCGGGCAAGGCACTTTATTGTGTACTTGTACCACCGCAACATCTTCTCCCTGCACTTTGCTGTCGCTCTCACCTCGGACTCCCGACCCCAACCACGTCTCCTCTTCCCCTTCTTCTTCCACGTCGTTCTCTCCTTCTTGCCGCCGCCGCCGCCACCAAAACCGTCGTCGTCGTCAAAACCATCGCCCCCCCTCTCTTCTCCCCACCCCTCCTCGTCAACCTGTGCCTCGCCGGAGCGGGCCTCGGGAGTTGGCCCGCCGTCCATTCCGGCTAGCTCAGACAAGAGCTGGTCGATGTCAACGTCGGACAGGCTATTCGAAGGGGACGGGAGTGGTTCGTCCTCTTCATCGAAGAAGGCATCCTTTTTGCCGGCATGAAGCGGCGGCGCAAGCTGGTTTCGTGAAGAAAAAAAAGGGCGGGATTGTATGTGTATAGAGGAGGCGTACTCTTGTGTTTTGCATGCCTTAGCCGTTAGACCATTGACCACGCCACGTCCTCGGGAGGACGGAGCATCATTCCCGAAGGACCGATCACCGATGGCCAATCGTATTGTTCCTTGTGTGTGCAAGGCGAGGGCAGCATGTCGTTGTCGTTGTTGTTATTGTTGTTGTTGTTAACTTCGTTGAGGTCGAGTACCGGGAAAGCGCGAAATACTTATCAAGTCGCTGTCCACGAGAGCCGTCGACGAAATAGGGAAAAGGCTAGGGGCGTTAACGACTACAGCAGGCGAGCAACAGGATAGGGGGCCAACATTTCCGATTGAGTTCCTGCGCGTATGCTGTGCACTGTGGCAGCCATCTACGGTTGCTTCAGCCGTCGTCAAAACCTTCCGAAAAAAAGGTCCTTCTGTATTTACCGTCGTAGTACCTGGTACCGAACCAAGGTCGCCCGGCAGCAGGCCCAACCTAGAGTTTGCTCATGACCGAGTGTACCGCAGTTTGGCAATAGTCTCTCGTACGCTGGTGGTGCTTTTGAGAGGCGCAACAGCCTCCCTATGGATACAACTCCCCCCAACACGTAAATAGTCGTACACCGAGTGCGATTGGGCAGTTGGCTCTTCAAACCGCTACCACCGCTTCGGAAGATGCCACGCCCCGCGGGAAAAGTTTCAGAGTTTAGAAAAATATCGCCCAGGTTGGTGTCTGCAGGGACGGCGCAATCTTGTGCTACTAGGCGATGGATGAGTCGCTTTACAGCTTGGATGGCCACCGTCCTTAAGTCACTCGTGGGGGTGGTGGTGGGGGTGCTATTTACCGTGCTCTGCACGTGTCGAGATGTTATCTGTTTTCAATTTCCAAGGACTTTCTCTGTTGCATTTGCCAACAAGCAGGATGTGTAGGCGTACTTCGGTGTTCAACGCCACCCCCGCAAGTAGCACCCCCGGCAACAACCCTATTTAAGGCTGCAGTTGCGTTGACGTTCAACCCATCTGTTGGTGGGTCAACCGTAGGAAAAGCGCACACATACGTAACACCAACATCGCAGGGTTGCAGTTTGAGAAGGATGAACTGCTCTGGATCAGCACACCTGATGCTGCTGATCGAACGCCACCGGTCTTGCTGCGCCCCATGAGGATGATGGCAGCCGCAGGCCGCCGCCGGCAGAAGCAGCAGCTCGGTCGCCGCCGCAGGCCCCGCTTCGCATTTCAAACCGCGAAGCAGCACCTGCGGACAAGGTGCTGGGCAAACCATTGATGCCACCACTCCTTCTCCTCCTCGTCAGAAAAGAGCTCCCAGTAGCGCCAGTGGTAAACGCGACAACGCCTTTGGGCGCTGCTGTTGCCGCTGCGGTAGCGCGAGAGCGAGACCTGGTGCTGTCAGATATCAACAGGAGCCAAGACACCAAACCGGCGGCCACGTTGCTGCTGCCGCCGCTGCCTCGGCCTCTCCGCCACCGTTGCATGGCTCAAGCTCCAACCACAGACGTCAGCAGGCAAGAGGTCCTCCGATCTCTGTACTTGGCGTACTGGCTCTCCTTCCTTCGCGCTCGAGACCAGAAACAGGCTGCAGGTCATGCAATCACATAAACAGATTGTATTGTCTTGCTGTCGGTGCTGCACTGACTGACAGTCCCGGAGGGCTACCCCCTACGGCAGTTCGTTTGGTCCAGTTCGCGGAGACCCTGTGTAATGCCGCTTGATGCCGCAGGCTGTGAAGCTGCTTGCTGCGAGCATCACTTACAGCAGCACTGTCGCGGATGACGATCAACAGCGAGGCGCCTTCCCTACCGTTGTCAGACAAGAAGCGATGGCGGAGATGCTGGCAAGCTGGACGTCCTCTGCGGGCGCGAGGCTGCTGTCTAGCACAGGGGAGGCAGTCGACAGCGTAACCTCAACTCACGACGACAGCACGCACGCGGAGGGGGAGGCGCACCACGATGTACGTTTTTATTTGTTTTTGTCTCGAGGTTGCCAACCCCGTTGCGGGCTCTTGTGCGGCACGTCGGCTTGACTCTCCCGTAGATCAATTTGGCGGGAGACTAGAAAGCTCTGACGGTTTCTTGGCGAAAAAAGGGAGGATGGGTCGCAGTGTATTCACCGATGTACCGATGAGGTGCAGCGGCAGGCTGCTCTTCTCTTTTTGTATCTGCATAGGGGCCCTGCTGAAATCCTATCCAAGATTGATCGATCATCCTGTTGCGACCGTTTCTTTTGTCACACCGACAATTGACTACAGCGGGACACAAGTTCGCAGGATGGCATGCACTATGTAGGCAACCCGCGGTAGAGTGCAATCCTGCTGGAGGGCTGGCATTGATTGAAACGCAAACCACAATCTCCCCATATGGAGCTATATTTAGAGGCCCGACAAGCCTCAGCACTCGGCACTCCTTGTACCTTGCGTAAAGGCGTTGCCTCATCGCTAACGCTGCTTTGCGATATTGGCACCGCTGCGCGCACACGCCCGCGCCCACGCGCCCCCCTGGCGGTGGTGCATGCAACTGCTGCAATTCCATTGCTGTCGCTGTTGAGGTTCTAATGTTGATGAGAGATACTAACTAACACGCACTCATACTGCTGTTGTTGTGCAACAACCAACCCCAGTAGCAGTCACAGCGTTTTCGTTGCGAAGAATCCCGCCGCCATTTTCCATTTTCAAACGATTCCGAAAACCAACCCAAGGCACCAAAGCGTGTTTATGTGTTTATTCACTCTGTGGTTACACTACGCACGGTGGTTAACCCGTATGTGAATACAGTGCTGATTGCAGTTCCGATTACTTTTGTCTCCAGAAAGATCGCAACCACCGATTACTTTTGTCTCCAGAAAGATCGCGAACACACCCAACGTCTCTTCGTTGCTGTATCGTCGTCCTCACCGGCGTGATCATCGTCGTCCTCACCGGCGTGATCATGTGTGTTTCTACAAGCTATCCACCTCAGTTCTATGTACAGACTGTCAGCGCTGATTGGGCTGACTAGCTAATGGTTTGATTGGCTTCTACGCTGACTGGTCTAATGGTTTTTGAGTTAGTTTTCCAAGAACAAGTTCTCGAGAACTATGTAAGGAAAGACGAGAGTCAGATTGTGATAGCTCAGTCACGTAAGGGTTAAGACATCGGTGTGGTGGCGTACATCACCAACGGGCGGCCATCTGCAAGCAGTACAGCAGTCGGTCCATTGTGGTTTTCGCCAGAAAGGAAGGGCTATATATGTTCACTTTCCAAATGACACATGTTGCGCTTGACAATACTTTTTTCTCACGACATGTGTACCTACTACCTACAACAGGTGCGCGTGACGCAAGGAATATGTCATGTATGCTATCCATACAGTACGCATATGTGACACGATCGCTTGTTTCACACCATGTATATTCCTATGCATAGGTGCAAATTGTTGTGGTGTGCATATTCCTTCCATTTCTACACAAGATAACACTACAATAGAAACCGCTCCCCTACAGATTAGATTACCACGCCATCAGGCGATGATGTTTTTATATTTTTGCGGCTCAACTGAGCCCAAGGTAAAATTTGTCCCACGCTGTCAGATCAAGATACCACTCAAAACTCTCTAGAATAGCGCACCGCCCGCTGGACATACTCCTGTTGGACGCCAATGATGTCTATCACCGGGCGTGTTATCTTGAGTGGGATACGGTACGCATACATACATACGCGCAAGGGTGCCTGCACAGGCGTTGTACGATTGTACGTACCGAGGGACGAAGCCGTCCGTTGGCTGGCCAGACTGACTCTTTTTCACACGACAGGCGCCGCCGCTCTCAGGAACCTCGTTGTTTTGCTGAGGCTCGTTTCCTAATCCCTGTGTGGGGTACCGGTAGCCCAACAGCGACCAATGGATTTTGCACGGGGGTTCTTGTTTCGAGCACGTGTTCTCATAGTCAAGTTTTTTATAAGTTTCTACTTCTATCTTTTTGACAGTCAAGTTCTTAACTCCCAGGCTCTTCAGTGATTCCGCGTTCGGTAGCGCAAGGGCAGCACATACTCACTCAACAGGCTCTCCGGTGATGCACAACGCGTGCGACAGCACCGATACATTGAGACCGGAGCATTGGCACTTGCTGGGTTGGTTCATGTACTGCACCATCCGTGCGTGGTTTGAACGGGATGGGCAAGTAACCGGGGATGTGAAGCAACAAGAGGTGGTCGTTGGTGCAGGTGTTTTGTTTGTGTTTTCGCTTCAGGGCGAGAGGAAGTAGCACCCCTTCTACGAGGTTGTAGAACGAAACGACGAACAATCGATCTCCCATATACATATTTAGTTTCCTTTCCGCCGCTGAGAACAAACGCAAGGATGTGAGATCTTGGAGCGCAAAACCCGTCTACATTGACGTCATCGCCGTGCTCGGTCCATTTCGCCATCGTGACCCCCTCGAGTTCCTCCATGCAGCCATAGACCATGCAAGAGGGTAGCCGTTTTCCTCATCGCCGAAGAGAAATGTTCCTATCAAACCTTGCAATTGTGACGATCGGCGGGCATGTACGATGACCGACCACTTCGGTCTTGCTTGGTTTGGCCAATACTTCAGGCTCCCCCGCGTACCCACCCCCGCCTGTACTCGCTCGCTTCTGTCCTTCACGCCCCCCCCCCCTCGACACGCACGCTAACCGTTTGGTTCCGAATGATTTATCGATTTTTCCGAAGGTGACCGACCAGGGGGTAGGGGCGATCGTGTTCGCCCTGGCGATAGGCGTGGTGTTCCGGGCCTACGTCATGCACTACATCCGGCTGCCGTACACCGTCCAGATCCTCGTGGTGAGCGCGGCCGTCCTTTGTGTTGTTTTCCCTTGTCGGCACAGTGATCGCGAGTAGAATAGTGATCGCGGGTAGAATGTCGCGATGTTCGTGGGTAAAGTATCCACGATCCGTCTTCTTTTTTGTTTTGTTCCTGATTTTTATGCTGCTGTCATATTGTCACCGTCGCTTGCTGCTGCTTGCGACCCTACGGCCTCGGCCTTTTTATCTACCCGAAGAGCTCCAGATTGTACCCAATACGTCGCTGTCTCTTGCTGCCCTACGGTCTTGCCTTTCTCTACCTGAAGAAGTCCGATCCGGGCTCTTACAGAGTGTTTATCCTGCTGGGTCGCGTATAATATCAAGCTGTCATAGATACTGCACGGTATAGATCCGCGGAGTTGACCCGTCCTTCATACAGTGTAGTTTACTCGGAGACGGTTAGCGCCGCCGACCCTACGTAGACAAACATCGTGATGGTGCGGGCTAGCGCACGGGCGTGCGGTCAATCGATGATTGAAAAGCTCCAGTCTCTCCACAGCCAGGAGGCTACCAATGCTGACATGGGCGGATTCGGAAATATCTCGTTGTTGGAAATATCTCTTCCGAGAGCTATCTTCACGGTCTAGTCTCGCACCCTCTTGGTCGCTGAACCGGAAATTTATCTGCTCGATCGCGCTCCTGTGCGTTCGCACCCGCTACTTCGGTAGGTACGCGCACACGCAAATGAGACACACCTAACTCTCGCCACATGCTTGTCGCAGGTCGGCATCGTGATCGGGTTGATCTTGGAGTTCACGGATCAGTCCACCCTGGGGTCGGACCTGTCCACCTCCCTCGACACGATCCGGTTCATGAACCCCGAGATAATCTTTTACGCGCTGCTGCCGATCCTGATCTTCGAGTCGGCGTTCTTCACGGACGTGCACATTTTCCTGAGAGAGATGTGGCAGGTGACGCGGAGAAGGGGAGGGGGGGGGGGGGGGGTGTACTCACAGCCGTGCATGCCGTAGTTTTTTTACCATTAACCTCGCATCCCTACTAAACCGGGACGGAACCCGCCGGGTTTTCACCGGACCAAGCTGTAATAGGACATCACCAAGCGCCAAACGCCGTGAGATATTCAGTGAGAAGGGGAGGGCAAATGAGTGTCGATTGATATAATAGTGGCATCTGGAGAGAGAAAGAGAAAGAGAGAAAGACACAGACACAGGCACAGAGCAAGAGAAAGAGACAAGAGAGATGTGGATGTGGTGTGGTATGGTGGGATATGAGTTTGGGTTGATGGTGGCTGGTTGAAAGAGGGATGCTGTGCCTGCTGAACCAGCCCCTTGCCCGTTGCGACAAACCCCCTCTATTTTGGACAGCTTCTTCCCCCCCTGAAACTGCCAAAGTTACTATTTATTTATACAAGGCACACCTCCGGAGTGGGCTCATCAGAGGATAGTAGTGAATAATGTCACCAAGGCGTGATGCAAGATGCAAGTGTAAACCATGTGTTGGTGTGAATCGACTGGCAGCTGCCATCGGCGACGTTTCCCAAGCTCGAACAGCTCACAACAGCTGACGTGTTGTTGACTCGACGAGCCCAGCGAACCTCAACTAACCAGGAAGAATCACAAATCACGAATCTGCATACAGCCCGAAACGAATACTTGAGGTTATTGGAATAGTTTACTTCCTCTAATCACTACAAGGTCTCATCTATTCAGTCTCATGCTCGATGCTTATCCATGTTCCTTGTTGTCTGGGACGCCCGATGCAGGTGCTCGTGCTTGCCGGCCCAGGGGTATTGGCGGCGACGATCATGATGGCCGTCTTCTCAAAGTATGTGTTCCCTTACGACTGGGACTGGAACACCTGCCTCTTCTTCGGAGCCATGACCAGTGCAACCGATCCGGTAGCTGTGGTCGCGCTCATGAAGGTACCAGCGCGTGCTTCCATGTGTGGCAGTTTGCTTTTGGTGGTGTTTTCGGTTGAGATGGTGCTGCTGGTGCCCCTGCTGCTTTTTCGCATTGAAAGGCGCCGTGGGAGATGTTGGCGACGCCTGCCGGGAGGTTGGCGAACGAAGCTACACGAGACTGTAGAGTCATTTCGAGAAGCGTAAATTCGGTGCACTAGTATCATTGGTCTAACCTATTTTGCCGGGTACGTTGACCATTCCGTTGCACCAACCCACCACTACCGCCACCATTTTTTCGTGCGTGTGGCCGCACTGGGACCGCGTTTTTCCGAGCCAAAACCAACTCGGCCGATCCAGATAATCTTCCCTCACTGCCTCTCCTTGAGTGCAGCAGGCTTCAGCAGCATTTTGGCATCGGAGCCATTGACTTTTTTTTCTGAGTGCCCCCTAGCACCCTCCCCCTGTCTTCGAGTGCTGTGGGATTTAGAATTTTTGAGCACAGGAGCCACTAGCAGGTCAATATCTGAGTCTACCCGAAACGCATGAAAAATGACCAGCTTCTGGTTCATCCTTATGAAAAGTGTCGTGGGCCGGCGAAAACCCGGCATATCACTCCATCCCGGCATTGTAGAGATGCGAGGTCCATGGTCTACCCACTACGGCGTGCGTTTACACGAATACCTCCCACCCTGCGCTTGCATTTTTGACCAGGAACTCGGTGTGTCGGAGCGACTGGCCGTCCTGATCGAGGGGGAGTCGTTGCTCAACGACGGAACCTCCATCGTGGTGTTCTCCGTCTTCTTCGACGCGTCTACGGGGATAGGCTCGACGTCCGTGGGCCACGTTGTGACTCAGTTCGTGCGCCTGGGTCTTGGGGGCCCCGCGGTTGGCTTCTTCACGGGCATGATCGGGTGAGTCCGTGCTGATACTGCACGTTTTTGGTTCTCGATGTGATTGGCTGTCGACCGCGCTTACCGGGCGACCGATGAAAGGGTACCAGTCTTACGAGCGGGATAAAACACGCGTTTAAGATTTCCTGTCATCGGGACCCTGCTCAAGCCTTTTTTTTTCTTCTTTTCGTCACTTTCAATCAGTGCTCACGAGTCACAGCATGTCTGCTGGGTAGGAGCAATGTCCAATCCGTGGTCACACAGCAGGGTTGCTCCCCCTGAGCCCCCCTACCCACCCTTCCTGCGGTTGTTTTGTCTTCCACTTTTATCGCGACATGAGTCTTTCGCAGCCGAAAGCATACTACTACACCGTCACCGCTCACCGGTCTATTGGTGTGATTCCCGCTGCCAATAGCCCCACCCTCTTCGCTTCAGCCCTTTAGTTCTGTGGTGCTTTGAAGCTAGCCGACGCTGGCTTCGACCCCCTTTTTTGGTGGCTTCCGCGTGTTTTCGGTCGAAATCGCCGACAACAAGAACGATATGCCCCTATCCCAACCCGGAGACTTCCCGACCTCGGGTGTCTTTCTCCACCGTGAGTCCCGCGAGCTTGCAGCCGGATGTTTCCATTTCCACCAGTGCTGGTGTTTTCCCTCCAGCGCTTATGTTTTCCCACCAGTGTGAGGACGCCCGTTGTTTTGTGTTTTTTCCTGGAGCACGAGTTCCTCTAGGTTTGTGTTCGCCGCTCATCCAGGTGACCTTACGGTTATAATCGCAACCTTACGATAGCAACTGGTTGAAGGTTCGATTCTCCCTCTCGGAAGTGAACAATCTGTAATCCTGAGGGGGAATTGTGAATTCGATTCGGGAGTATGGTACGCAACAGTAAGAGGGCCCAGAGACCTCTTGGTTGCCGCGTTACCGGGGTTGACGACGCCTCCATAAATCGACGATGGCATACGACGACGCCTGAAGCTTTCCCCCCGCCTCCACGCTATCCCACGACGCCATCGTGATCGCCTTTCTTCTCCTGAATCCCTCCCCATATCTATATCTCCTTTCCCGAATTGGACTAAATGCAAGGATTACCCTTCTTTTTGGTCGCACCCTTCATGACCACCCTAGCCAGGTGGCGATCTCGCTTGTTTCCCCTCCCCTCCCCTCAAACGCGACCCCTTGCTCCTGACCGTGACCCTGCCTGCGGGTGTGGTGCCGGGACTCTTGGGGTGGACGGGACGTGCGCAGGTCTTTCGCCATCGGCTACATCCTGGAAGACCACCTGAGCGAGATCACGTGCACCGTGGTGGTCTGCTTCAGCGCCTTCCTCCTGGCCGAGGCCACTCCTCTCAGGGTGAGCCAGTTTCTGTATGGATGGGTTGAGGAAGTGGGACGGTATATGGCGTGGTATGGTACGGGTTTGTTGTGCTGATCGTGGTGTCGCATGGTGTGGTGCTGGTGGTGAGGTTCGCTTCAGCACCTTCCGGCTTGCGGGTTTATAACGTGGGACGGTACGGCACGATATGGTACGGTTGTGTATGCATACGGTGGCGGCATGCTCGATGAACTTGTTTCCCTGCCCATAACCAAAACCTTCAATATATAACATAAGCAAATCAAATCAAACACCTCAAACATTGTATTCCTTGGTCGTTGGTGCTTTTCATCCACCTGGGGTGCTTGTGATACAGGCACGATGCCCGGTTTTCCCTTCACGATTGGCTTTCCCTACGCTCCGACCTCTCTTTACATCCTCCGTATAGCTTGACAACTGCGGTCGTTGACAACCCCCCCTTTCTCCCCCCCCCCCCCCCCTTTTT